AATACAAAGAATAGTGACAATCTGATAGTTCTCTGGCGACTTAGTAGCAATTAGCTTGCAAAATACCTAAATAGCTTCTGGGCTTATTTAGGTAGTTAGGTAGCCAATCCTCATATGTGCGAACCTTATCACATTTTCATTTGTTTCAGTGGCTCACACTCGTCAACCATAGATGCAGCCGTGTTTGCAAGCGAGTTTGGTTGCAAGTTAAGGAAGTGCTTTCGCTGTTTGCTGATATGTTCAGTGCTGCTTTGGGATGGTTCTATCTAGGATCTTAAGGTAGCTGTTACTTATTTTGATACGGACAGGTTCGTCTTCACCTAAGGCTGTCGATAAGCGCTGTGGATCAGAATCAAAGAGTTCTGCTGTTTCGCGACTACGATTCGCAGCGGCTTCTGTAGCAGTAGCGACTCTTGAGACTAGTTGATTGTAACAATTCTAGACAATGTAGCACACGGACTCCGAGTCCGTTTTTGATCAATTAGCATTCCTATGTCCTTTGTTCTAAACAGACCCACATGTGGAAACATATGGTGAACAGTGTGTGACAACACCGTTCAACATGGATTATGACGAACGGAATCCTACAGTATCGTCCACACATACAATGACATTAATTTTCCCACGACCGACTTTCTATTAACCTCGGCATTGATCAAGTAATTCTTCGTATTCTTGCTGAGCAAACACGAGGTGTTATTCTTTATTCACGAAAAAGCTGACGTTTCGGCGGATTTCGCCTTCTTCAGAGCCTGGAAAGGTCAAGTTGACAGTAATCTATCGGCCAAACACCTCCACAACCAAACAAAGAAAACGCTAAACCAACATTTCAATCACATTGAACACAGCTTTGCACATTCCCAAGACCGGCTTTCTGTTAACCTCGGCATTGATTGATAATTCGATGTTTTTCTTCAATAAGCAGACGCGAGGTTGCACACTCACCGCTTTCTATGAGGATTCCACTGAGTGCGTAGCGTGAAGACCAACCACACAGAATTCATATGGAAGCGTAATGTGTCCCCCGCATCAGAATAACAGGCTTATTTCCTGGACTCCTCTCTTTGCTCTCTTCCCGTGCACACGTTGGTTGCTGTTAGAAACATGTTTCTTACAAACACTCTTTTCGTGTGAGAGGGGTGAGAGGAAAAGTAATGTACCAAGATGTTTTACTACTTGGCTTTCGGTACCACTTCGTAATGTAGCCACTTTCTGACAGGGTAATTTGGACGTTCAGGAATGGAAGCCATTTTTCTTTCGGTTTCTCTCGGGTGAACTTGATATACTCTGACTGTTTATTCAACAACTCGAAACATTTGTCCATCTCCTCTTGTGTGGAGCGGATGACAAAACAATCATCTATATACCTACAGTAGAGTACCGGCCCGAGATCAATCACAGGTGCTTCCACCTTAGACATACACGCAATGGCAAGACTTGGCGCCAGTCGCTGTCCCATTGCCAACCCTCTTATTTGAGCGTAGTACTTTCCGGGCCATCTGAAGATTGATCAGCTCAAGCATTCTTTTAAGAGTGCCACCAACTGCTCTATCTTGAAGCCATACATGTTTAAGTCTCCTTTGTGTTGTATAAGGAATTCGAATATGGCTTGCATTGCGGAGTCATTCGACACCTTTGTGACGTCACGCGTAATATTGGGCAGCGTATAAACCTGTTATTGTGATGGGAGAGGCACATTACGCTTCCATGTGAATTCTGTGCGGTTGGTCTTCACGCGACATACTCAGTGGAAGCCTCATAGAAAGTGGTGAGTGTGCAGAGCTGTGTTCAATGTGATTGAAATCTTGGTTTAGCGTTTTCTGTTTGGTTATGGAGGTGTTTGGCCAAATAGATTGCTGTCAATTTGACCTTTCCAGGCTCCGAGGAAGGCGAAATCCGCCGAAATGTCAGCTTAATCGTGAATACAGAAAAAAATAACACCTCGCGTTTGCTCAACAAGAATATGAAGACAGTAATTTTACCAAAATTCTCCACAAAACACTGATGTAACAGTACCTTGTCATTTCGCTGAATATTTAATAATGTGGGCCGCAGGGAAGAAAATCTCACTTATCATAACTCCTAACTACAAAAAATAGTTAAAACACAAACAAATGGATATATGAACGGATTTTTCATAAAAAGGATATGCAGCGCAGCAAAATAGGGTTCTTCTGATAACCACCCAAAGATTTCTTAACATGAACGTTTGGTTCCATTTTATGACATCGATCGAAGCGAGAACTACTAAAAGTTAAACAATTAAAAGTTGGAAATCGTCCCAGTACTTTACTTCCTTTTAGATAGTTGTACTATTCCAACATATTTCTTTCCTCATTGTGACCCGGATAGAACAATACGGGAAAGCCAGCAAACTAAAAGGTGACAGCATTCCTTCAGTGTTACAAAAACTGGGCTATATGTGAACAGGACAGAGTAGAAGTCTGCGGAAAATTGCAAAAAAAGAGCACGATGCAGAATTTTGTGTGATAAATGTGAGAAAAATAAAAAATCAAAGATGCGTCGACAGCAGTGGAAATGCCAGTGGGAATAAGCGGAAATGTTTCCACCACCCGAAGCAATTAGAAAGTGGAAAGCTAAAGGCCAATAACCTGATTTAGCTAATTTCTAGCTAATTTCCACTTGTAAGCTAGTGGAAATGCTATAGCGGTACACCGTCTCGACTCAAATAATACAACCTCAATGGTCCTGAGATATTTTCAAAATGAAGGACACGCATGGTGTGGTGATGAACGCGTTAGTCCCCGGAAAGGGTAATAGTGCGTTCGTTCCCCACCACAGACACCTGCTGTCCCAAATTTTGCAAATAACTCAGCAGCACTGTGATTGTACACACATAATACATTACCATGCAAAATTGTAATAGGCAACAAATAAAAAGCTAACGTGATATCACTTAAATAATGTTTAGTGAAGAAATAAATGGTACCTTAGCAATATCGGTAACCCGTAGAGCACTATGTAGATCTTGCTTATTAGCGAGCACAAGCAACGAGGCTCCCAAGAGACGTTCTTCCCTTAGCAGAGACTTTAACTCATCACGGCATGCAAGTAAACGCTCTGAAAACAGAACGAATGAGCCGGATTAGCTTCATGGTGACAAGCACGATGAATAAGAGACGATTTGCGCCAAAAGCAGAGTAACGAGAGCTTTCGGTCGTCCAAAACATAGTCCATATTCCCACCGCGAACCATTATGAAATTTCGGATATAACTTGTATTACAATAAATTATTTTACTCTGTTCAGTGGAAGGGAGCGTGTGCCGCAGTGGTTGAAGGTGGTGCCAATGTGATACACACGTGGTAATGATCCCCGCGCCCACGGCCCACCATGCCTTCCAACCCTCTGGGGTCGGCAAATTGTTACCAGACTTTTCTGAAAGGATAGCAGCACTGGTTCGATACATCGGTAAGCCACCGCGAGTCATTGTAAAGCCAGATATGCTTTCAGCCACCTCCAATGATACTTAATGAAGTCGATTGTATGGCGCTTCCCTTAAGGATTGATCAACGTCGAGAGCTTTATCCTTTATTATTTTACTCAATGAAAGGAAATAATTAATCTTTAATTCGATATGAGGTTGAGCACTAAACATAACACAGTTTTTTGAACCTAAAGTTTTCAAAACCTCCTAACGGTTTTCTACCGCCTCAACGTGGCTGGGTGGTGTTCCTGGGTGTCGGGTTGAGATGTACAGCGGAGGGATTCATCCCACTGGCAAGCCCTCTCATGCTGAGGAGTGAGGCGTTTCCGTCAGGAAACCAAAGTAAGAGTAAGCCAATACCAGCATCCACCACCGTCCTAGTATTAAACTAGTCGCATGGTGGCAAATCTCCCTCTGATCCACAAGTACGGTGAATGGCTGTGATGGGGTAACGAACTGGGGCAGACGTTGGCTAGACTGACCTCGGGACTCAGCGGAACCACAATGGCTAGACCAGCAAATCTCCGGAAAGTGGAAATTATGCTGGGGCACGGACAACCAGTGAAGACGAGTCATCCGAGTATCCAAGTAAGTATTTCCTAGTGGATAATGCCGTTTTTGCAGAAATTTCTCCTATTAAAATATAAACCAACTCGACAGAAACACACCGACTTGTTCCAAGAAATAAACCAATACAGCTCGGACTTATTCTACTCAAAATAACTAACATAGTATCTACCTCATTAATAACATGCGAAGGCAGTAACTAATAACATAACTAGTAACGCGACTAGCTTCTAACATACATTTGTACATCATTCGTTATTGACGCCCTAGCCCGAACCAAGCCCCCATCTTCCGGGTCGACAAATTGATGCCACATTTATTACGGTAAGTTATGCATACAAGCAATACATGGCGTATCCAATAGAGATAGATCAACGCTGAGCGAAACGATAAGTCAACAATTTCTGAGATGTAAACTACCTCAGACGGCGAAATTACTGGATAACAGTACCCTTCATACGTTTACTTAGACACTTGACCTGCCCGTCTTCACTGCTCGTGTGGCTTCCAGCATAATTTCCATTCTCCAGAGACTTGCTGGTTTAGCCATTGTGGTTCCCTAGAGTACCGAGAAGAGCCACACCAAAGTGTGTCTCAGGTCGTCACTGCTACAACCAGTCGCCGCCCGTGTGGATCAGAGGGAGATTTGCCACCATGAGACTAGTTCGATACTAGGACGATGGTGGATCCTGGTATTGATTTTCTCTTAGCTGGGCTTCCTGGAAACGGAAAACGCCGGACTATGCAGTTTGGAAGACCTTGCCGTAGCGATGAATCACCCTGCAGTAATTCACAGCGCGACGCCCATGAACTCCTCTTAGCGACGATGAGGCGGTAAACCGTTGGGAAGCTTCATATACTTACTTTAGTGATATTTCGAATGATACGAAAGCATGCAGATTAGACGAAAGCGCAAGGTATCCATGAGTCATTCGTCAGACTAGAACAGAAAGTGTAAAGGCAGAATTTAGAAAAAACATCAAAAGCTAGCCTTCGTCTCCGGAATCCACCACCCATATCAGTGCATCTGTTTGTTCAAAATAATTGCGCCAGTAGGAACGCAAGCTTTTCTGGCCTCCAACATCCCAAAAATTGATGGTAAATCCTTTGAACTCCACGGTCATAATGTTGAAACCTAAAAGAATGATTCACTAGGACAAGTAGAAAACGTCATGCATACGAGAAATCGGACAGCAGATACCTAGAGTTGGCTCCACGGAAGTGAGATCCTCTCCAAGAAACTTCTTTGTAATAGTAGTTTTCCCAGCATTGTCCAGACCAAGAATCAAAACACGAATCTCACGTTCCTTCTCCCTTTGCTTCCGCAGTATTGTCAGAAGGCCCATGCTCAGCAAGGACTTAAAGAGGCACTGAAAAACTTACATTGAAAAGGAAAAATACCGAAATACTTCAAAAGCGAAACGAAATACAACGGGAAAATTTTCCTGAGAAAAAATTCCAAATTGTAAGAAACGCGGCTTTCTTTTGGAGATACGAAAAGAACTGGCCGTAATCACACAAAGCAACTTCGATCGTAATCATTAGTTAAAAATTCGTAGGTATCTAATCGAAACCACCGTTAGAAGGTAGTTAGCAGCTAGTGCAGTTCAACAATTTTGACAGTTTTAGCTGAAGGAAATGAACGTGTGATAACTGAAGTGACGTCCAAACACGATGTTTTAAATTATGGGACGATGACGCGTGTGGCGCAATGGTCGGAGACATTACTGGCTCGATACCGAAGGGTCGGCCACAGCGAGTCATTGTAAAGGCCAGATATACATTCAATCACCTCCAAACGATGCTTAATGAAGTTTTGTGCATGGTGCATCCCTCAAGGATTGATCAGCACCAAAAGCTTTATCCTTTTTATGGGCTGATTGAACCGATAGAACCTGACTTACACTCATTCCTCGTACTTATGTTCCGGGCATTCCACATGTGGACAGCAGCGCAAAGTTGCTAATATCAAACACCATTTCGTATCATGGGTTATTCAGTCTATGTGATTGAGCGCATATGTGGCCTATACAATGACTCGCAGTAGCCTACCGTTCTATAAAGTCAATGTTGCTAACCTTTCAGACAAGTTTCGTACCAATTTACCGACCTCGGAGAGATGGAGGGCTTGATGTGCGGAATCGAACCAAGGATCCACATGTGTGTCGCGGGGCACCTCTAACCACTACGCTACACGCGCCCGCTACAAGCTTTTGCGCTTTGCCGGGAGACCTAAGCTGGCGTTAAAAGCGCTATTATTAAAGACCTGGGTTTTCCATCTGGCCAATCCTTGTCAACTTCAGTTCGGGTGCTTCCAAATGGAATCGGTAGCACTGCAGAAAGCGAAGTGGCCGCACCGTATAAGAAGGAAAAACTGATTTGCAGCGATTGTTTTTTCATATTGAATTACCATCACTCTTGATTACGACTTTTTTTGATCTATGTTTTGAATTCAGTGAGAGATTTGATTTTGCTTTAACGACGTAGAACTCCTGATAAGATTGTCGTGACCTGATGAGCAGTGAGTATAGGATTTCATCGACGAACTCCACGCTTCCGTTGCGTTGGATAAACATGTACTTTTTCAATATTTCACACGAAGCCTCATGACATATTATTTTGTGGATGCCAGCACTTCTCGCATTTGGTTAGTTTCCTCGCATCCATCATCTATGAAGGTCTTGCAACTAGTGGGTTCCGCGGTTGATTGAGGCGACCTTTCGTCACGAATGCCGAATGCTAACGCGTTCAAGACCACACTATGTGGGTCCTTCGCTTCGAACTTCATGACAGTTCAAGACGGGAGACAGTTAATGCTTACCAGCAAAGGCAAATCTCCATACTCTGGCAAACGCCGACAAAAAAACACGAAACGCTTGCCGTCATGCATCTAGGATTCTTCTAAGATGGCAGTGACTCTTGGCACAGGCATTCCCTCTTTTAACTAGACGTCCAACAATTCCTACTGAAATCCCTTACACCTTGGCTGAGTTTCACGGAGAGTGAATCTAACGTTGCAAATCGCTTTTGAACGCACAAAATCGTAGTATTGCCGATGTAATGCAGTGAAACCATCCAGAGTGCTACAGTCAGACAATTACTTAGTCGCATACTTGGACGACCCGTCCATACTGGTTATGCGCCCCCTCCCCCCCCCCCCCCCCCCCCATAATCCCCATTTTTCGGAATTTTACTGGCTTAGCTGGTGTTTCTCCGGAGTCCCAAGATCGGTCTAGCCTCGTCTGTAGTCTGCCCCAGGTCGTCACCACCTGAGGCAGTCGGCGCCCTTGTGGATTAGAGGGAGATTTGCCACCATGCAACTAGTTTGATACCAGAATTGTGGTGGATCTAGCTATTGGTTTACTCCAAGCTGGTCTTCCTGATGGAAAGACCTGACTCCACCTCAGCTTGGGAAATCCCTGCCGCGGGGATGAATCCCCTCTCCGTACATCGTAGCACAGTACCCAGAAACACCTCTCAGCCATGATGAGTGTTAGGATTATAGTTCAGCTATAGGAAATGAAAGGGCAAAAGTGACCCCTGCATTGATGTATAATGACACATCATTCGAGAGGAAAAAAAGAACTTATTGCTGAAACATATACGGTGAAAACAAAACTACACGTCATGCATTAATTCCAGAACAACCATTATATAACACAGGCATACGTTTTCCAAATTTTCTCAAATAAAACCAGATTTCCCTTGTCAAACTAACTGACCCTAAGAGATAGCGGCGAAGGTTTCCTACTGCGTGGAGCTATTCTTCAAGGTGGCTTATCCGTTTCTCAGTATTTCTATCCACTGTTCAATCAGCTTAGAGCATAGTAGATCTGTACCAACATATCAACGCCGGAAATTACGAACTTTGTACAGATTACGTGGAATACGACAAATCTCCTGTTCCTGATTTCATTGACTAAAACTCTCCTGCAAAGTATTTCGAATACAAGTAGTAAAATGTGGAACATAGCTGTGGTAGAACAGTTGCTAATAAACCAGCACTGTTATTCTCAGTAACTATTGCTGTCGCAGTCTTCTAACCCTCTAGCTACAACCAAAGCAACTCAGTGTACAACAAGAGGTGGACCGAATCAACATAACAGACTTCTTTTATTTCCACATCATCTCCATATTGCTCATTTCTATATCATCTATCTTTAAAAAATCAGTTAGCACAGCCCATTTTGCCTGAGGCTTAAAATTGACATCGCCGTATCATGTACGAAAGGAAGTTTAGTATTTCGGAGCACAATACCTTCTTTAAACCTCAGTATAAATGATCAATGCACCTTGCATTCTTGGTAAACTAACACGAGGTTGTTACCCATACTTATTCGAATAACGTTTCCACGCCTTCACCCTCCTTAGAGGCGATGGTATACGTCGACGTCGAGTCATTCGTCTTTTCGATGTGGTATCTTCGTTGCGGCATCGAGCCAGATCCTCTTTAGTGAAGTATGATGCGTGAAAAAAAAATATTATCACCGGACAATCATGAGTATTGACAACAGCCCTGCGTATAAGAGCATCGCGGGATGAGTATACCTCATTCCAAAGATACTTCGCTAAAGAAGATCCGGCTCGATGCGATGACGAAGACATAATATCGAAAAGACGAACGACCGTGGACATCGACTCGGATCAGCAGCTCTGAGGAAGACAAAAATGCCAACAACCTCGTGTTACCTCAACAATGAAGCAAAATAATGTCAATGTTTTAAAAAACATAGGGAATACTGACACAATTTATAAAAGCAGCAACAGGATATGAATAAGAAAACCACAAAAGAAACTTACGGAATTCAGGGACTTTGTCAATGGAGGGAAAGCCGCTAATAAGAAAACCGAATCCCAATAGCAATTAAAATACATATGTGAATGTAAATGATCCCTATTAATAGATGGCTCTTTGACTGCAATCCGTTGATGAGTTGACGAAGATATGTTCCAAAAAGACTGCGGTCAGTTGCTCGGTCTGAAACTAAGTAGCACGTATTAAATTTCGACGCCACATGTTTTCCTAATAGAACTTGCACAAAGCATTGGAGCAATAAGAAATACGCCATGTAATAAAGATTGAATTGAAAATTCCTAAGAAAAAAAACCGTAAAAAATGTCGTAAAAGTACTATATGGAACTAACACAACCTGTTTCGAGGAAAAATAAAGGATAAGCTCTCGGCGTTCACCTATTCCCGAGGGAAACTCTCGACGTTGACCTATTCCCGAGCGACGCGCCATGCATTCGACTTCACTAACCATCGTTAGAGGTGACTGAATGGCTATCCGGCCTTTACAATAACTCGCGGTGGCCTACCGATGTATCGAGCCTATTGAGCCAGTGCTGCTGTCCTCACAGACAAACCTGGCACCAATTTGCCGACCCCAGAGGGATGGAAGACTTGCTCGGCCTGTGTTGCCTGAGCGATGGGGTCGATCCCATGTGTTTTGCAGGGCTCCTCCGAGTATTGCGCTACAGGTGCCCTTTATAGTAAAACAGAGTCAGCAAAATAATAGTAATGCGGATAATTACTTGGTTAACAAACTTCTAAGATTACATAAACTTACCTGGTCCATTCAACTTTGAGAACCATATGGTACTTACGAATCCCGTTCAGTTTGGCAATTGCCCTCTCAGCATCCTAAACGTACGACGTTCACTAGGTGTTACATAATATGAACTCCAATTTTTAAAAGTGTAAAGGAATGCCGCAATGGGAACAGAACTCATAGACCTCTCGCATTTCGTAAGTGACAAAGGCGAATCCCTTCGGTTGATTCGTCAACTTGTCTCGAGCGATAAACACACGCTTAATAAATGTGTCATTAATGTAAATAAGAACGGACCAATGCGAAGGTCACGGCAAGAAAATGACAAAAAGCTCACCGACACTTTTCCGATAGCAGCAAACAGCTCTCTAAGCTCTGCCTCTTCCATATCCTGAGGTAGGTTTGTAACTCGGCAAGTATTTTCGTCGGACCTTAATGGAAGAAGATAGTCATGTCCATAAATATAGAAGAACACGAATTTCGCTCAAAGAAAATTTCAGGCGTAGAAGGTGACAAAAGTGCATCATTTTACTGATATAACTTTTGCAAGAAAATAAACAAACAATGTTAATATAAAGACCGTTCATTACAGAACTAGCGCTTCTATAACTTAACTACCTGGTTAGTTGGATGGCCCGTCTTCACTGGTTGTGCGGACCTCAGCATACTTTCCCTTTTTTCGGAACTTTGCTGGCTTAGCCACTGTGGTTCTCTGGGGTCCCGAGCTCAGCTAGCCGAAGTCTGACCCAGGTCGGCAACACCACAGGCAGCCGCCCTTGTGGATTAGAGGGAAGCTTCCCACCATCCCCTCCTCCCCTCCCCCCCGCTGCAGCTCGCGGGCTCACACGTGGGAACACCTCTAAGCCACAGTGAGGCCATAAACCGTTGGAAAGAGAGCCTCTATAACGCGAAGAGGAACTCTATGCGATATGAGAAGGTCGACAAAAAAAGAATTCAAAACTACCGGCGGTCTCCTTGTCGAGCATCTCCACGCATACCAGGAGCGACGTACCGACCAATACCTGGACCCACACGTTCCTTTTCTGCTGATTCAGCAGGATCGATTTCTTCTTCCACTTGATACATCTCCTAAAATAAATTAAGGGTTACATTAGTCAAATAACGCTAAAGCGCAACGTTAAACTAAACAACTGAAAACAAGTTCAGTGTCATACGAAAATTTTACCTTATAGGGACAGTTAGTACTCCAGTGATCATTTCCTTTGCAATGACGACAATGTTCCCGGCTAGTGACCTTGGCCTAAAGTTCCACTTCATAAAGAAATTGTTCCCACTTATAAATTTTTTGCAATTGCTGAATGTTATCAAAATGTTGACGTTCCAGGTGTATATTGACTATAACTTCTTAAAAATCATATTAAATAAAACCGATATAGTAGTGAGGTAAAAACTCACTGTTTGCTTGTCTTCCTGAACATCTAGGATCTGTTCTCCAGCACGATTCCTTGTAAACTGCATTTCTACCTCTTCAGCTACGTACGTGGTAGAAATCTACAAAACTTCGAGACACTTCCAGAATAGAACTAGGTTACAAATAAAATAAATTGATAAATAAAGGATACGGATACGTTTGAAAACTGGACCAGTCGTTTAACACAACTAAAAGTTGTTATTCTATACCGCTCCACACGTTTTATAGCCTTACCATGGCTGCCACGTGTTCCTGGATGTAGAGCTGGAGATTCACCACCCGATAGGGCCTCCGAAGCTGACAAGGAGTCCGGCGTTTCCATCAGGAAGCACAGCTAAGAGTAAACCAATACCAGGATCCACCACCGTCCTGGTATCGAACTACTCGCATGGTGGCAAATCCCCTCTGATCCACAAGGGCGGCGATTGTTTGTGGTGGTGAAGAACTGGGGCAGATTTTAGCTAGGCTGACTTTGGGACTCTAGAGAACCACAATGGCTAAACCAGCAAAACTCCGAAAAATGGAAATTATACTGGGGCGCACACAACTAGTGAGGACGGGCCATCTAAGTATCCAAGTAAGTAAGCATTCTATACCATGAGTGGAACTACAAAGAACTATAAGAAAAGCTCCTAAAAAAAACTGATAAATCATTGTTTCAATAAGTGATACAAAACGAGCACAATAACCGAACCTGTGGTCCCGGTGGCTCATCACGGCACGCGCCAAATTTCGAGAGCTTTTTCCGCTCGGCGACTACGCGCGGCACATTTTTAGTTATCACTTTAAACTGCGTAACGACCTAGAAAAACGTACTTTGATGAAAATGCACTCACTGTTACCAGTATCTATAACCACTTCTAAAGACAAAGGAAAAACAGAGCAAATACCTTGTAACGAGAGCCATCCTCTTCAATAAAAGCAACGACAGTTTTCACCCCATCCTCGTTCACGTCATTATTCGGAAGATCTTAAGCAACAGTTAGAAGCGATTTATGACAGAAACGGAAAGGCCGAAAACCTACTGTCTTGCTCGACGGCTTCAGCCCAGCTGCCAACCTCAGGAGCAGAGCTTAAACTGAAAATTCTAGCTAACTTCACTATCAGAACTACAGGTTAAAAAAGTTTCTCTTTATTAAATGAATAACTACTATGTTACCACAGAAAATGGCCTATTGTAGAGAGGATTAACTTACATGTTGGTGCTGCTGACAACCATCACCGTCATGCAACCAACACCTAAAGACAGATTGATAAACACCAAAGAACATTTTTCGAAACAGAACAGGGACAGATAGTAAGAGAACATTCTGGAAGGCTAAGCAAGTAAAACCAATTGAAATCCAACATGCTACACCTATCCACGCTAAACTGATAACCGGGCAATGGCACTGACGGGGGCAACAGACGGGAAACTATTCCAAAACCGCACGAAGTCATCGCGAACATCGCGCCGCCGCGTCGCCACACTGGCTGGGCCTCTCAGCGTCGGGCGCGTGCGACTCCGCGAAGCGCCGATGCGACGGCAGTTCGGCCGAAGTCGTTGTTTCGCAGAGAGAGCAAGAGGTATCCCTCGGTCGTGTTGATGTTACACCGCAGCACGCTGATGGGATCGACGATGGTCGCCATCTTTGTTCGCGAAGAAATTTCGTATACACTTTAGAAAATTTCTAGCCGTTACTGGTTGATGTAGCCTAGTAATGCCGTTGATGTCAAATTTATCGCGTAGTATTGTCTTTTATGTCCACCACTCATTTGTCTCTGAAACTGGATTCTGTCAATGGCAAGAATGTAATCTCTGTAGGGTACCATATTTCAATGTTTAACCCATTCGCGACACGAGCTATTTCTCGTCGGCTCCCGGCCTTCTGGTCTTTTAACAGTAAAAAATAGTCAAGTAAAAGTAAACAGTGAGACAGTAGAAGTAGAGGGCGCGTGTGGCGCAGTGCTTGGAGGCGCCACTGCCACACACGCGTGGAATAGATCTTCGCGCCCATAGCCCACCAAGCTCTCCATTCCTCCAGGTTCGGCAAATTGGTACCAGACATGTCCGGGAGGCTGGCTGGCAGCACTGGCTCGATACATCGGTAGCTCACAGCGAGTCATTCCAAAAGCCAGATGTGCATTCGTTCACCTCCAGCGATGCTTAATGAAGTCGAGTGCACGACGCATCCCTCAGGAATTGATCAACACCGACAACTTTATCCTTTCTATCCTTTTCTAATAAAAGTTATTGTAATAGTTCCCAGGATCGACCTCGGCATTGGATTATGAATGTGTCGTTTCCTTGTTCAGCAATCGCGAGGTTTTTAAACAGCATACATTTACTTCCATAAAAACACAATACAATACAACGCTAGCTGACGTTTCGGCAGTATCGCCTTCTTCAGAGCCGCTTTTTCGTGACTTCCAATGAGGAAGTTTAGAACAGTTGATTATAGTCGCATGTGGTTAACGAAAAGTTATTGTGAAATTCGACGTACTTTCCAATTTTTAAGAAGAAATTTTTCCATAGTTCTTACTTTGAACTCCATTTTTGAACGAAATATGCTCCCCTCTTACAAGTTTACTAGTGTAGTTTTAAAAAAATGAATTGTATCTGAGGAGTGAATAAGTCCGTGAATGTAAAGTAGTAAAGTGAGTACAGGTGGTTGAGGGACGATCCTCTTCGCAGTGTTTCAATTTTATTTACTGCCTGTTCTTATTCTCCTTTTTTTCCTATTGGGGAGGGTTTTATGTGAAATAAAACCGCAAGGATGCTAAGATATGAGCAGAACTCGGAACCTCTATTGAGCTCTGAATTGAGGTTACGAGTTTTGCGCGTATCTCAACATCCTTGTGATTCTGTTTGCGCTCTTCAGAGTTTTCACGAGGATTGCCAAGTGCTGAGTAGTAAAATAGAGTGAGATTCTCGTTTTCTCAGAGTCACAGTTGGTACCGGATCATCTTTTTCACGTCTAAACGAACAGGCTTTGCGTAACTTTTGAGGGCATGTAAACAAGTTTTACCTTTTCCTCTACATATTCTCTGAGTTCGTAAATGCAGAATGAATGCAAAGGGTGGCGGATGAGATGATTAGGACTGCCCCTCATCCGACCTCTGCGAACCAATCAGTCTCAGCCATGCACAAGTGTTCGGGTTACTATCGATCTGGTGTTGAAAAGCCTTGCGACTAGACACCTAAATTTAATGAAATTTTGTAAATTTCCATCTTTTGAGGTGGAAGATTGCGGAGAGTGGAACGTAATATTATCCTTCGATTTTTTTCTTTTTGGCTCTACCTGGAGTTCACATTCATTTCCTCCATTGTGCCCCACTTCTCGAGCTCAGCTTTTGAGCACTGAACTAATTCATATGCCACTTAACGTTCTAGGTTTTTAAGAAACGGCTGTCTATTTCTGTTCGCAAAATGTTCATTTCAAATTGTTCTCGTGCTACATTTCTATGAGGTTCTGTCCAGATTTCATCTATACAGAAAACTTGAAGCTCCGTTATCTCGTATGAAATGCTGAGATATTTGCAAAACTGTGGACCGCAGGTGTATGCAGTGGGGAACGAACACACGCTGTTGTCCTTGCCGGGGAGCAGCGCACTTTACCACCACACCATCCGAGTCTTTTGTTTTGCCTGTCTCTCAGCTACTTCTATCGATCTTTTTGACATCAGCAATCACCCGTCAATGGGATTCGTCTAGGGAGCCCAAATCGGCATTGATCGATAGAACTAGCTGAGAGACAGGCAAAACGAAGCACCCGGATAGTGTGGTGGTGAAGTGCGCTGCTCCCCGGTAAGGACAACAGCGCGTGTTCGTTCCCGACTGCATACACCTGCGGTCCGGAGTTTTGCAAATATCTCAGCATTTCATACGAGTTATATTTCACAACATACCCTGCCATTAAGAAGAAAAAGGCAGTAAATAAAAGGGTTAAGGTTCCGTTATCTCTCGTTGTTACCATGATTAAGCACTTTCTTACGCACTACTCACGTCAGAGCTATTCGTTATGTCAGGAAGTTCTTGACAACGCTAGTGTTCCTACAAGAACTGTTCGTAAAGGGGTGTTCATCACTTATTATTCAGTTGCTTTTAACATCGAACCCCAGTAGGGGAATTTGCGACATGTTTTAAAACTTAGTGTTATGGAATCACATTTTATTTACTGCCTATTCTTTTTTCGTGGCAGGGTATGTTGTGGAATATAACCACAATGTTGCTGAGATCTTTGCAAAACTCCAAACCACTAGTGTCTGTGCTGGGGGTCGAACCCGTCATTAATCTTTTCGTGCGCTGACGCGTTCACCACCACACCATGTGGGTCTATTGTTTCGCGTTTCTGTAAGCCGTATTCTATAGGTGCTATCAGTGATCACCCGTTAACAGAATTGATCTGGGGAGCACAAATAGGCATTGAACCCAGTTTAAAACAGCTGAGATAAAGACAAAACAGAGCACCCGCATGGTGTGGTGGTGAACGCGTTAGCCACCGGAAAGGGTAATAACGTGTTTGAAACTCACCGTGGACTTACTATTGTATTTAACAATACATTGTCACGCTCCATTGCAATGTTATGCGTTCAAAAGGCGTGAAACGATCTACCACCATACCCTTGTGGTGACTAACATGTTATTCTCGTCAGCAATTCCGTTCGTATAGTTTTATCGGAGGACTCGTTTTTTTTTCTTGTATGAATCGGCACCAAATGTCTCGCATTGTACGGATCTCGGCATTTGCACACTATCCGTTTCCTTACATCCACCATCTACAAATTTCTTCGAAATTTTTTGCGTGTGGGTTTGGTCACTGCCTTTTCACTTTTGCCACGAATGTCGTTGAATACTTGCCGAGTCGATTTTCCCTGGAATCCTGAGATGGCTGTGCTAGAGCGTTTCCGCGTGTATTAGAGGGAATTGGCTTATCCCAGACAAGTCTGGGGCAGATCCCGGAGAGATGAGAGACTGAGAGGGCCCGGTGCGCGAACCAGCGCCTAGATACATCCGCGTAAGGGGCGGCAGAACTACCACTGGGCTTCCCATTCCCTGTTAGACTGGACCTATAATTTTCAAGGACGACTATTTATTAGCTTTGGCATTGTTCAAAAATTTCACCGTATTCCTGATGAGCAAACACAAGTTTGTCACTTTATTCTTAATGACGGAAATGCTGACATTTCGGCAGATTTCGCCTTCTTCTTTTCGGATTGAGATCTTGGTTCCATATTTTTCTGTATGTTTATAGAGGTGTTTGGCAGGGCAGATTTCAGTCAATGTGACCTTTCCAACCTCCGAAGAAGGCGAAATCTGCCGAAAAGTCAGCTTTTCTGTCGGTTAAAAATAACATAACAACCTCGTGTTTTCTCATCAAGATTTCCTATAGTTGTTGAAATTCCTGCCTGATAAGAACATCACTGGTCTGAAGAAATGTGAAATAAATATGGAATCCTCTTAACTGTTACGTCCAATTTCGAATTAAATAAAACACGTTTAATAGAAGACTAGGGTGACTAGTGCAGTAGTAGTGATGCCGATTATCACGAGCACGGTGCTGGTTCGGCGTAGCCCCAGGCTCACCAAGCCGCTCATCCTCTTAGCGTCAGGGAATCGGCACCAGACCAATCCGAGAAAGGTCCACTCTCTGTTGTCGAAGTAGAAACGCTCAAGCGCAGCAATCTCAGAACTCCAGGGAGAATCGACTTGATCATCATTCAACAACATTCATGGGGAAAGTAAATTCCCCAACCGTCAGCCGAACCCACACGCGAAAAGGTTGGAAAACTTTCGTGGATGACGGATGCGAGGAAGTGAATCGAACGTAGGAAACACTGGAATCCCCCCAGTACATGTGGAAGACGGATCGTGTGAAAAAAGATTGAATAATATAGGGCCGTATTTCTTAGAATGGACTTTTCGAACCCGACCTTCCCTCCCAGGCCCTGAAGAATGCCAAATGTGCCGAAACATCAGCTGTTTTGAATAAATAATGTATGATAACAACCTTATGTGTGCTTATCGAGAAAATAGCAAATTGTTTATCACTGTCGAGGCTAATAGGAAGTCGGTCTTGGGAGTTATTCCTTAGAACCTTTCTAAATTGTTGAGCTTACAGGAGATTGAAAAAATTGTTTTATTCGGCTAACGTTTCGACGTCTTCGTCTTCATCAGAGCCGATGATCCGAGTGGTTGGTCCACAGAAAAAGAATGGAAAAGTTTCCTTAGAGATTCCAAGAAGGGTG